CCGGCCGGCTGCTGAGCGTGGCGTGCCGGCGCTGCGCGCCGACACAGAGCAGAGCCGTGGCCCTGCGCTGTCTGTATGTTAAGCACTTTGCCGTATTATTGAACACGCACTGACTGATCTACAGAGCAAGTTTGAACGCGGCCGTGAGCGTAAGATCCCTTATGTCTGCTGTGCCCTCGCGGGCGCGGCGGGCAAAGGGGATCGCGGCCGTTATTTCCTGGCGTCGCGGCCATCGCCGCGTTATGCTGCTTATCAGCATAACAAAGATAAATGCGAAGATCTATATATATACACGCTTGTATTCTTATTATTAACCTTATACTAATTGCTTAAAGGCCGCCTGTCGTGGGAACGCTGGCTAGGCGTATAGTAGACGCCCTAAAAGTGGGCGACAAGCCTATAAGTATCACTCTATAATAACTCAACCACGACGCCTTTAATTACTAATTTAAGTTATTAGATATACGATTCGTGCCGTAAAGCCGTAAAAATAATAATTGATTTGTAAAAGAGAGAGCGATTGTGGCCTAAGGGCCTTCTATAGTGTGGCGTGGTGATTGCGCGCGCGTTGAACGAAGACTATATGTCTTTAAATACTATATCTTACGCTGTTTTGCTTGCGTAAATCAAGTACCTCCTGACGATCTGATATCACTTAATTATACTTGTGCTAATGTTTATATCTATTTACGTGGCTGTGATATTATTCTCAAGCCCTTACGCAGCCCTGCCGCCAAGTGTATCATCTATTTACACAGAGATCATAACAGCCTCACAGCCTCACAGCCTCACAGCCAGCGACTATTCTATTCAGATATAGCAGAATTGATCCTTCCACAGCCTTGTACGCCGCTGTGACCGTGCCTGTTAGTTCGTTAGCGATATGGCTGACCATCCGGCCGCGGCCGCGGCTGTGGGCTGCTAATTATCTGCTGGCCTTCCTCCTTAACTCCCTATATAAGGGCTAATTCGAGTAATTATCTTACTCGCGAAAGCTCAATCTAAACAATCATAATATTAGTCCTTTAGTCAAGTAGTTACGGTATTAGGCCCTATACCGCGGCGCTAGCCCTTCGGGGGTTAAACAGGAATTCCACACAAACCTAAGAGTGGAATAGTATGATTATTAAGTGCGACCTCCTAATTATTAGAATCCGAGATCAACCTTCTATTTATTCGCTACGGGAGTTAGGATAGTTAGTAAATATGTTATTATACCGGGCGTCCTTTAAATTATAATCCGAGTACGGTCTTACCCTCTAATCTACTGGTTATGGTAGGTTTTTAGGCGTTAAAGTACAGCAATAGATAGAAAACCGTGTATTCTGATAACCGCTGTTAAGACCTCTCTAAGGCACCTCTTTTTTTTTGAAGTTGTTGATGATAATCTAAGATACTATTGATAAGGGAGGCACGCCTGCCCGCTGAGCATCACACACTGATGTGATTCTATTGGTTAATGTGTGATAAAGAGGAGTCAAGTGTTCGAATCTATTAAGAACGTTCTTTTTTATTATTATTTACTTGAATAAGGGCGTGGTGAGGTTATCGCCGGCGCCGCACACATAAGTGTCTGGTGCGCACTTATCCATTTGCAGCATTTGCAACCCACGTGCATAGGTGCCACCGTAGTGCCGCGCCCCACCTACACCTAATACGAGGTGGGGCGCGGCACGAGTACACCCAGCTGCGGTTCACAGCCACCACAGCCATCGTCGCGTCGTCACCAAGTTCAGTTGCCAACGAGCAGCCATCGAACGAATAAATACGGGTGCGTCACCTTCATCAGGATCTCCATTCTATTTCCCTTCGCCTTCAACTGCTCCTTCGCCAAAGTCTGCCGGAACCGTTGGCCCTTGCTGCACTGCGCCTGAAATGCCTGACCCGATATCTCTTGTCACAGCCATCACTGGCATTCCGGGCATATTCAAGTCTTGTGTGGATTGTTTCCAGTATGTCCGACTCGGTCAGCGCTTCGGGAAGGACTACGGCATCTGCCTAGCGAAGCTAGAAGCCGCGCACATTCGCCTGACACGTTGGGGGGAGCCCCTCGGTCTTCTACAGGATAAAGTCAAAGTACAAGGTTCATTTAGTGATGAGGATATCATTCGAGCATATGAATTGCTTGCGCTGATTGAGGCTACTTTTGAAGAAGCGCAGGAGGCCGCAGCCAAGTATGCTGATAGTAGGAGGAAGAAGGGCAAAGACAAGGACCTGGAACTCATCGACGAGGAGCACATGGGGTTAGGAGGCTCCATCAAACTTCTCGTAACATCGCTGAAGTCCGTTTCCAAGGAGCGGCAAAGGAACCTCAGCTTGCCGCGGAAGATCACCTGGGCATTGTACGGCAAGGACGGCTTTGACTCCTTGATCGGAGATATTGTTGCGCTCACCAGCAACCTTATGGAGCTTTTCCCATCAAACGAGCGGAGGATGAAAGAACTTTGCCAAGAGGAAGTCAACAACTTGGATGATGAATGTGTCTTTGAACTAGGCCGGGTACTCCAGAACGACGATAAGATGCTCCCAAATACGGACGACGCGATGATGAGCGAGACGATTCGCGTCCATGTTGAGTCACACCGACTTCAATTTCGCAACGTCAATATTGACGGCCAAGGAATCACCCGCTTAGGAGACACATACGGCTATGGATCTGGCGTGAAGCCAAGCGACGTCAGCATTGATGGTATGACTATCAGAGGCAGTGGTTACACTCAAGCAGGCCATGTTTTTCATGGAAAGTAAGTGGCATGAGGATACGACCGGGGGTTACATCAAGAGGACGGGTGGCCATTTCGCAGAGAGCTCAGGCCTAATTTGCGAGCCTATCATGGGGTTGCCGTGGGCGGTCTGGAAGCGAGCGGCAAGTGATAGCCGTCGGGGCTCGAGATGGCATGTATCCTATTCAAGGTCCTCCGTCTGCTGAGAGGGCCCAAGTCTCAGTGTGAGGTGAGAAGAGTTTGAACGTAGAGTATTCGTGATTGGCTATGCGAAATGCCTGCCTAAACTCGGACCGTGCCTCTCACTCATCAACAGACGACCTTGGATCGGCAACGGGTTGAATCTCGATTGGACGGTAGAATCCGGATGATGTCTCACGAAAGAGGCAAGACTGCTCAAGTTGGCAGAATTCGGGACTGGGCGGCGCAACTTGATCAACAAGTGCCAGGATCAGGATCCCCGGATCCGTTCTGTACAGTGCCTGCAGCTGCTCTTCGAGACTTTGCGCACCGAAGAACACGCCAGACTGGTCGGTACCGTTGGTATGGAAAGAACTGGGGTAGCCCTCAAGGATAGCATCATTCCTTGTTGTTGGCGTAAAGACAGTACCAAGGCATTCTGGGAAGGGGATGCAGCTGGCAGTTAGTTGAGAGGAAGTCTCTTCTGTTTGTTCGCCACAGCTGGGCTTGGGTGGCTCTGGTGGCGTTGGCAACACAACTATATTTAGGTCACTCGGTATATCATCGTGTAAGCCGGACTGGAGTATGGCCATACGGACTCGCTAACGAAGTAGGCCAACTTTAACCAACTCGGCCATGGGACTGATCTCGACTTTCCTCAACGTTTACAGTATGCAGGATGGGCAGTGGTCCATCACTGCCATCATTACCGTGTCCATCATCGGCGCGTGGTTCCTTGCGTCATGTGTTCTCTTTACTCTCTACAAAGGCCTTCTCTTACCGAGATTGAAGGACGTCAGGTGGCCACAGGCGAATTAGGTGGGTATACGTTTGCTGCGGGGTTCCTCGGCCACAGCCGAGTTTTTACATTGTTTCTGAAGACTGCGAAGGGACTGAACACACTACCAGGCCCAGGCGTCACAGTAGACAGTAGAAATATCCAGGCACGCAGGTCCTCGAAGTATTCGCAGCAGGGATAGAAAGGAAAAGAAAGCGGACTACGAGTGCTGGCCATCCATGGCTCATCGGTCAGTGAGCAAATCGAGAATGCCGACCGCTTGATATACGTCAAAGATAGTCTGATATTGCCTTATACCAATATTTGAATTAGTTTTTCCTGATCTTGAGGCTTGAGAATGACTTGGACATGGTAGTTGTCGTTTGACTGTTTTCGGGTTGCACTCGAACTCGCCCTTGCAACATGCCGCTTCCAATGTGCGCAGCAACAGTGCGCGTTTGGCTGAAAACTCGTATTGAGTTTTTCCTAAATTCAGTCCCAAGCCCGACGAGCTGGAGCTCAGTACCTTGTGATCAGGTGTTGGCGAGGAAAGTAGAAAGCCAACGATAGCGCGGTCCTCCCCTTCCAGCCGGGTGTGTGGTCAATTTTGCCAGTTGAGCTCCAACCGGAAGAGAGTGTGTGTTTGGAATACTTCAAACATTGTACCACTAGACATACATCGTTTCCTGGTGATCAAGCCTTGCAGTTGTGGAAGAAGAGAAGGCTCGAAGCTCGCTGTTTACGAGAGAGGTGACTGGCCTTTCATTAGTCGGTAAATGATTCTAGAGGCCTTGCTGTGGGGAAAAAAGACTATTGGTTACCGCAGCCTCCGGCCGTGTACTAAAGCCCTTGCTTCCTGATGTATACCCCATGGCAGAGCTACACATGCTCTCGCCTCGGCAGTTAATCCACAAGCAGCATTGTAGAGCGAATATGCCATGTACATTTTAATATCTTCCATCTTATATATCAGCTTGATAATAAAGAGAATCCTGTGATAAAGCTAGATCGTGATTTTTCTTGGACACCATCCCATTACTGAACACCCGACTCGTCATCAATCCCTATCACGAACATCGAACCCCTTGCATATGCCAATATTCACAACAGTGATCATGCTAACGGCAAGCCATCTGTGTACTTTCTGCCCTTCATCAAACCACTCACTCAATCCTGACCGTATATGTTTGACGCGTCTTCGCGACTTCCAAATTCAGGAACCTTGGTGACTCCTACGAGTTGGCGCCGAAAATGTTTCACGCGATGCGTGTCTTCTGAGATACACCACCAGCCAGCCTACCCCCGCAATCATCGCGGAGACGAAGGTGGTCGGCAACTGGAGGTCTCTCATGGGGGGGGGGGGGGGGAAATTGATCGGGGTCCATGCCATAGCCGATCTCATCAGGAAGGGACTTCCCAGTTAGCATGTGGCAAAGACGTTCTCGGTCTGACTCACAAAAGTAAGCGATACACCAGTTCGATACAGCGGGACCGAACATACGACCATAGCCAGGCAATAAAGATCACAGGAAGGAACCCCGCGACCAAGAAATAAAAAAAGCAAGATTAGGCCCCAAAGCATGCGAGGCATAATGCTCATTATTATAGGTGGTCTATTTATCAATATCATCCTCGAAAAAGACATAAGATAGGCGTTCTTAAGCCAAAGAAACCAAGAGCACAAAGCAGAAGCGAGGACTGGGGCTTTATAGTATATATACTAACGAAGTAGATCGTTTACTTTATCAATAAGACGCTAGAAAGGGGACAGTACGAGATTATCGCGCGACGCTATAGGCTACTTTAGAGGTGCCGAGTTATTTATAGCGATTATTATTATTAATAAGCTATCTTCTTTACCTTTATATCATATATGGCCGCCTAGAAATAAACGGAAAGCTTAGAGCAGCGACAAGGTCTCCAAAGCCGCAGGTTCCGACAGTTAATCGGGCGAAGCCGGCAGCTTCTAGTTATCAATATAAGTGCATTACCTTAGGTCCGAGCTCCTACCTAGTATCTTATTAGTAGAGTTAAGTATTTAGGAGCGGCTATATATCGGGGTGCTTTATACTCTATAATTCCCACGAGGCAAGATAAAGTTCACAAATAGAACCCCCGTGCTTTAAAGTATCCGGGATACACAAAAGACACTCGAAAGCTATACATACTATGCACGTCGATCCACCAAAAAAGCGCGATCGTATACGAGAGAATTTCTCGCGCGCCATATTTCGCTTAATAAAGCGTTATAACGCGATCAACAAGCGTTATCCGAATACTAATATATACTTACTTATCCGTTAAAACCAGAAATACTATTAATAAAATTCGACGATATAGAACTCGAAATTTCCCACGCCGCCGGCTAAGTTAGTAAGTTTAACTATTCTAGCTACCCTTTAAAGTCTAACCCTGGAAGGATATAATATATCCTCCGATAGTAACACGAACGCCGGCGTCATTTTCCGAGGGGAAATCCTACTCCGGTAGATAATATATAAAGAAGGGAGAAGGATAACGGATAGGTGATAGTATGTATTTTACGCGAACAGGAGGTGACATCGAATGTATGTAGGAGTTGATGATATACTAGTTATACTAGATACGGATAGGTCGATTGAATTTAAAAGAAAGCCACCTCTCCTAGGAACCACTATTATCCCTATTGAATTACTCGGTCTTGATAAAAAGAGACCGCGTGCGACATCGAGTCTTTACTCGGCTTTACATCCCGTATCATGGATTCATACGAATTAGGTAGCAAAGATCCCAACAATACGGCCTGAGTTTCCCCGACTCTGTGTAAGCCGGGATATAGCACTAATTACGTTTTTATTTAAAGCGGCGTTAAAGCACTCCCTCTGTCCTTAGGCGACTAAGGCGTCGCGCCAAGTGTAGTGACTCTAAAGATTCTGGATCAGAGCAGCCGGCGTAACGGCTATACCTAAGCCGTTGCGCCAAGGGCAAAAGATCAGACATTGATCGAATAACGAGCGATCGATACGGGCGTTATAGCTGCTGATAGGGGATACGAGGGACTACGGGCTAGGCTTGGGCCGGTAAAATCAAAGCCCTCTACAAGGACAACTGAGAAAACCCATCGCCATCCGGAAGGCTGCCAGCTTAGTGGGGCCATGCTATCACTCTAGTGGGTAGGAAGGCCCCTGGAGACTTCTAGAAAAGCCGGCTACCTTCCGTGGCCGCATCAATCCATGCTGGCTCTTTGTGGGCATTTCTGCATGACGCCCATATCGCTATTATCACATCCGCCCCACTAATAAGAGATATAATACTAGGTGCCAAGTCCTATGCATCTTATAGCTCGCGGCAGAATCGGAACAGGAAGTTATTGCCCGATTATGGATGCATCGTTATCCGCGATCAAAATGGTCCGTACCGAACTCTAACCTAGGTACCAAAGCGCAGCCCGATCTAAGATTCTTAAAAGTATGACGTTACGCTAATATACTTACGTATAGCATCGCCTCTTACCTATCGTGTTTTAACCCCCTTATAAACGATATAGCTCCCTTTATCATAAGCTCCATTAGTTCCTACGGCCATAATGACCTTTATGAGGTACGGTCTCCCACGGAGGTTGGCTCTCCCACGACACTTGACTCTGACGAGTCACCGCCTATGGCTGCTAGTAATAAGGGCGGCTGTCTTCGTACGGAGGATCTGAATCGTTTAATAGACGCTCTAGACGAGCGCAGTATTAAGTTTTAGCGAATAAAAGGCCAAGAGTGCCTCCCTGAGGCTATAATACACGACTAAGGTACGGTTATCCCGGCGGTCGTGGTATCTCTATCTAATAAATCGGAGGTGGTTCAAATACTACAGATCCTCACTAAACTTAACCTCTACTATAGCGGCCAGGCTATGTCAGTGAAGAGCGGAGGCCACGGTTATTTCAACGGCGCCACGTGCGCCGATATCATACTTAATTTATCGACTATAAGGCAGCGTAAGATCGAATAGAACGTTCTTATATTAGAGCCTGGCTACCTCCTAGGCCATATTATTAACCTGCTCGCCAGGAACTATAAGGCGGTGCCTTATAGAGA